GCAGCTACAAATCTATGTTTATAACCATTAACAACGGCAAGTTCCTTATTTCTCTCGGACACTATTATATGAATTTCTGAATTTTTTAAATTATTAATTTTAAATTCTAAACCCCCACACGATTTAAAAGTCAACGGATAACAGTAAAACACAATAATGCGATCGCAATATACGTACGAACGGATATCGAACAGGTAATAACTGATGCGTCCAGATAAAATATATATTATGTAATAAACTGTAGACTAATCAGATAAGTTAGTGTTTAAGGAAAAACCAAAATAGTGTTATAGTATGACTTATTTTATGTAGTATTAATACCAACGATTTTTAGGTTTAAAATAATTTTTATAATACAATCGGCAACGTCACAAAATAGTTCCGTGCGGAATCGTGTGAATGAAAAGGTATATGCGGAATAGTATAATGCGGAATCGTGAATTTACCGTCGCACTGCCATCTGTTTTACAGCCGCAGTGAACCTGGAAAAATATCCCATCGAGCCGCCGGGCTCTTGTGGACAGGACGGACACAGAACAGTAGGAAATAACGACAAATCAATGGACGTTAAGCCGTCGTTGTCGTCGACTCTSGTCTGGATGAAAATCAATTTCTTTGACAGTTTGGATAAAGCTGGGTTTATCGTGTTTTTCCAACTGTCTTGGCTGAATATCGAACRACGAACGACCATAAACGTCACGTACACCATTTTCATCGTCTCCAACATATCGTCAAACAGYTTTTGGGACCATGTTTTCACGATCGGCAAAAACCGATCAACCATATGCCTAATCTCTAATATTTTCTCTAAATTGACATCCGGAATTTTGATCGTTTCTGTTTTGATTGCTTCCGCTGCAGGATTCTGAGATGTAACGTTATCGCTCACATCGGTGTCGTCGTTTTCTGCAACGCTATCTGCAATGATGTCCGTCGAATTTTCCGCAGCGTCTATCGATACGTAGTCGGAAGCTTTYTTCTTCATTAATCGTTTGATTACTCTCTTCATGTCGTTAATATCGCGACTGTCAATTTTGTCTTCCTCCCGAGCCACTGGTTTGTACTGACCACGAGTGACCATAGATTTCTCTAGCCATGAGATCGCGTTACCGAGTTCGACCTGTTCGGCGTGATACGTTTTACATATTTTGAGCCTTAGTTGTTGGATATCCGTCAAACATTTATGTAAAACGTTTAACGTTYTTTCAGGTGTTGTTATATACGTTTCAATTTTATGAAGTTCGTTGACAAGTTTTTTTAACTTATTCTCAACAGACATATTTTCAAAGTCTATTACTTCCGGTACGCAGGTCTCTTCCAATTCGGCGTTTTTCAT